TGAAAGAGATACTGGTTCCTTTTGCCCATGACTCACAGTCTTATCTGAAACAGTTCCTAAGCATGAGTGAATTGGGACCTAAAATCCCTGTGTGTCTCCACTAATGCTGTCCTAGACTGATCTGTTCAGCTGAGGATGTCTGCATCTCAAATTCCATCACCAGGACTTCCATCCCTTATTTCTCTCCAGTGTTGCAGGAGAACAGTCCCAGGACATTAGGCACTTGCTGCTTCCAAAAAAAGTTGAACATTTACCAGATTTATTTGGCTATGGTTTGGTCAGTGGAGCAAGACCTTGGGCATGTCCCTAGAGACTATCAAAGTGTCTTCTCCTGTCCACTGACTATGTAGCTGCTGCAGACCCCTGCTTCAGAAGAGCAGCTTCATCTGGTGCTTGAAATACAGACCCAATTTAGGCAGACAGGATTACCACATGTCACTTTGGTCTGAAAGAATATTTTCAAGTGGCTCTTTTTTTTTTTCTGTTTTTTTAGCCTCAGTAAGTCCTAATCCTTCATCTGTACATATATATGTTTTTGTGTGTGTGTGTGTGTGTGTGTGTGTGTGTCACCTGCAATGTCTGAGGGTGTCTGTGCAGGACAGACAGAGGGATGGTAGTACCACCTCCAAAGCAGTGGTCACTGATTGACCAGTCCCATCCTTCCCACTCTGCACATTAAATATTTTCCTCAGTAAAATTATAGCAAAGAACCTTTCCCCAGCTTGACAGTAGCCTGGATCTAGCATCCATGTGTAAACCCACTGCCCACTAAGCTCCACTCCTGATCCTGCAGCTGGTGCTATCCTGTATTTCAATCCAAGACAGGAGATGTGTGTTGTTGCTACTTCCCAGGAATAGAGCAGGATATTGTCGGCTCCACCGGATCTCTCCTATTCCTGTTGCCTCCTTTGTCCTCCATGCATTGAATCAAAACCTGTTAACCCTTCCTTTTGCTGCTAGTGCAGCTGAGGTAAGGAAAGACACAGGCCTTGCTGTGATGGTGCTGACAGTTCTCCTTCCTTCCCCAGCCTCTTGTTTTCCTGCGTTATGACATGGCCAGAAAGCCCAGAGGGGTAAGAGGGATGCTAGAGATCTTTTCCTCTTCCAGGAGCTGTACAGCTGACCCTATTTGCTCTTGGGCACCTAGGGACACAAATGACAACAATTCCTCCCTGGGCCATCTTCAAAAGGACAGTTTTCCCCATCTTGGATTGTGAAATAACTGTAGACACAGATCCTGCATCTGCCTTGGGGATACCAGTCTATTGTCTTTGTCGAGCCCAGAAAGCTCAGGCTGACATTTCCAGATCATCAAAGGGCAAGACTTTGGGGCCAGGCCATCAAGAAGGAGTCAGCCCCAACCAAGACAGCAGCCAGCTGTGGGAAAAGTGTGGAGCTGAAGCCAGAGCTCAGATCAGGGGCTTAGTTCAGCATCGTCTCTTGTCAGCTAAGCACAACTGCTGCAGCCAAGAAAGCATGTTTCAGTTCGCAGAAACAGTGAAGAAACCCAAGACAAACAAACAGAAAGCTAGGGAAGGAATTTTCGCTAGCCAGCATGCATGACTTCAGGATAAGAACTGCCAACAATATTCTTGTGACACCCCAACAGGAGGTGAAATTTCATTCGTGTGCAGTGACTTTTCAGAAATAGGCTGCAAGGAGAGATATGAGCCCCACCAAGGGGACAGAAAGGCAATACCTGAGGAACAGGGTGCAGAGCTGCTGACTGAGACAAGTGTATTGTTGTGTGCAGTGATTTTTGGTGTTTACTGAGGCAAAACTCTGTGGGCCAGTAAAGGGACATTTTCCTTCACAGGAAAGGAACAGGGCATTTCTATAGGTTGCAGAAACCAATCCCCGGCAGGTTTTATTCCTTTTCCTTTTCCTTTGTCCTTTTGCTTTTTCTTTTCCTTTCTCCTTTTGGTTTTTTTTTTTTTTTTTTTGGTTTTTTTCCCCCTTTCTTTTATGTCTTCTCTTCTCTTCTCTTATCTTCTCTTCTCTCCCTTCCCTTCCCTTCCCTTCCCTTCCCTTCCCTTCCCTTCCCTTCCCTTCCCTTCCCTTCCCTTCCCTTCCCTTCCCTTCCCTTCCCCTCTTTCTCTTACCTTTGTTTTCCATTACCTTTTCAATTCAGGCCAGAGCTTAATGCCAAAGGAGCAAATGTCCTTCTTTTAATGATGCTGATTTAGGAACCATTGTATCATCTGACTCCTCCTACAAGTCTGCTTCCCACACCATACCAGCATTGCTGTTTCAGAGCCCGCCGTCCTGTGAACTGCTAAATGGACGTGCAGCAGTAGCTGCTTCCCTTTTCAGTTTTCTTTTTTGTTGTTGTTGTTTTGTTTGGTTGTTTTGGGGGTTTTTTTGTAATTTATTTATTCTCAGTGGCCAAAGCAGTTCTTGGCCTATTACTCCCCCATGATTTTAAACTTGGGATGCAAACCCAATCAGAGTGGTCCCTGCTCCGGAGTCGGTGCGAGGCAGTGGAGAGGCTCCCGGAGGACTCTGGCCAGCCATCCAGCGAGGCCCAGGAGGCTGGGGGTGGTGTGGGGAAGGCCGGTGCTAACGAAAGCATTCTGGTTGGCAGTGAATGTTTTTATTTTCCAGACTCCGCAAACCGATCTGTGTCTGCGCTCATCCATTCAGTGCATGCTCTCCTCAACAGCCGCTGCATCACGCTCTGTTCCTGTTCGCTGTTGACCGTGTGTCCACATTTAAGTGTGTGTTTTATGTGTGTCTCTGGCTAGGCCTTCTCCATCCTTTTTTTTTTTTTTTTTATTCTTCCTTACTTTCTTTTGTTCTTTTCCTTTCTTTTCTTTCCGTTCGGTTGGTTTGTTTTGCTCTCATTCTTGTTTTGTTTTCTATAGTTTAATGGCAAGTATTTCCATTAGAAATTATTTTTGATTGATGCTGTGTTTGTAACATTTTTTTTTAATTATTATTTTTATATATATCTTCTTTCCCCACCTTTCCCTTTTTCCACACTATATATAAATATATATATATAAAAAATCTTTTCTTCTTTTGTCATTCAATCAAATTCCAACCAAGAGCCAGTCAAATCCACCACAGTCTCGCGCTGAGCTAGGAAAAAAGTTCTCGTAATGACATGAAAGTGGAGAATACAGTTCCCCAGGCCGTAAGTTCAAATCAACTCGAAGTTGAAAGTGTGACATGATGGCGTCATGTAACAAGCTAAGAATTGGTTGCATGACATGCCGTCAAGTTTCGTGCAGGTGCCGTGATTGAAGCATTTTTCTTGGATGTTGTATCAGTTGATGATTGGCCAGTCATGATCACATGTGCCTTTTTTGACTTTGTGCTGCCACAATTTTTTGCTGTGCTCATTTTCGTTTTGTTTTTGGTGCTTGCAGTGGTTTCTTTATTTGTCGTTTGATTTCTCGTCAGCGTTTTATGCTTCTTTAGATGTCACATAGAAGGAAAAAAAAAAGATGGATTCCTAATTCTTTAGAAAAAAAATGGGATTGTTGTAACTACAGATAATTTGGAAAAAAAAAGTAGAGAGAAAAATGTGTGGTTAATTTTTTGCACTGAAAATCTTGTGATTATTTTTTTTTTCCGGAGAATTGGGGCCTTTTTCAATTGACACCTTTTTTTTCCCCTTAGGATATTTCAAATCACTTTCTAAAAATTTTAAAAAAGAAAAAAACAAAAACGGAAAAACCAAATCAAAACTAAAAAGACTAATGATAGTAATGGTAGTTTGCAAACTATAGCAACCAAAAAAAGCAACCCCAAGAAAAGCCTCATTGTATGTCTTTTCAAGAATTCCTAATTCTAAGGTGCCGTATTACAGCAACTCCAGCAAAAATTAATTGCTTAGAGGGAGGGAGGGATTGAGTGGGAAAAAAACCCATCCAGATCAAAAAGCAAAATGCATCTTTTTGTTTACAACTGAAAAAGGGTCCTTGACGAGTGTTTTTTATTTTTTTATTATATTATTATTTTTGGTGTTGTAATTGTTTAGACTGCTGTGTACGGTTTGCTGTTTGTTGAACCAACAGTGTGAAAACCTGCCAGCATGGATTGATATTCCGCATGACACTTTTCCACCAGAGTGGACCTTTTGCAGTTTCTAAGTTTCTTGATGTAATAAATCACCGAGTGTATAAGAAGAACCTGCTTGCTAGAAGGAGATAAGAGCTAATCCTTAATGATTAAGCATCCTACTTAAATGTCAAGCCTAGTCGGATCATGATTATTTTTTTTTAAATAATTTTTTTATTTAAGAAATGTTAGCTTTACCTTTTTTTTTTTCCCAAAAAAAAAAGTTTACTCCAACAGTCTTTTTTATTTAACCTCCTGTAAATTGCCTGTTCAAAGTCCTACTTTCTGACACTCACAAAGGAGTAGATGTTATTGGCAGCTACGTCTCCACAGAAAGCTCATACACTGTCAAAGATGGCACCCCATTAAAATGTAGTACTCCCCTCTCCTGATGCCTTTCACCCTACAAAAGCCTGACAAGCAAGATTGTGATCTGGCGTTGCAAAGCGGCACTTAAAAATAATTAAAATGCTGCTGTCTTCACGTGTGTAGTAATGCAGATTTACATAGACACGCCCTAATTTTATTTTTATTTATTATTATTAATATTATTATTACTACTAATAGGAACAATTGTGTTTTTCTTTATCATGATCGTGACTACCTTGCTTACTTTGGGTTTGATCCGGTTCCCACTGAAGTCAAGGGGAATCCTTCTGTTGATGTTAAGTGGGAGCAGAATCAGAGCCAAGGCCTTCAAAAGCAAAAAACACCAAAGCAGAAGCCCCATCCTGTCCCAATTGAAGGGAGAAGAAAGCATCCATTACTTTCAACCGGAGCAGGATTGGGCCCAAAAGAACAGGCTTGATTTTAATTTCATTTTCATTTTTAGGTCTTTTTTTCCCCCCTTCCTGTCTCAAATATTCCCCCCACACCTTCCCTACTTCCCCCTCCCCTTTTTGATTTAATTTGCAATGATCTTCTTCATTTTTTAGGGCAGCAGCTGAATGGGCCACATTTAGAAAAAAAAAGTATATATATATTAAAAAAAAAAGTGAACTGTTGGATTACATCTTTGACATATCAGCAAATATCAGTCGAGCTGAAGACTTCAGACCTATTCTCTCTTTGATTGTTTAGACTGTAACATTTCTTCAAGAAAAGTATCACATCTGCTGACTTCGAAGGACATGCGCTTGAAAACAAACAAACACATAAAGTAAAATCAGAGCAGGAGGAAGATGAACCGGGATTTCTGAAGAGACACTGATATCACCACAGCGGCTTTTCTTCAAACAGGAGATGCAAACCTGGATTCTGGCAAAGGAGTGCCTGTTTGCCACCAAGGATGCGGTTACCATGCGAGACCCATGGTAACAGCCACTGAGCATCTTTATCTGTCATTCCTTAGCTATATAGGGACCAAAGGACAAAACTTTTTACCGCAGACTTGTAGCTGTATGTAAAATATGGAAGTTCTTTCCTTTTCTCTGAGCTGTTCCTAAAACAGTTTTTGAGAGCGATTATATGAAATATGTAAAACCTAAAAAAAAACAAAAAAAAAACCAAACAAAAAAAAAACCACAAAAACCACAAAAACACCAAAAAAAAAAAAAAACCACAAAAAAAATTACAAATGCTTAAATGCTTTTAAAATGGCAAGATAATAGTTCTTTGATACTTTGGGAGGTTCTTTGGTTATACATTAATTAGAGTCTATGAAGCTTTCATATGGTTTTCTGTATAATACGCAAGGATTGCGTTGTTAAAGGCAGGTAAGATGGATATCTATGAAAAGCAAAAAAAAGTAAATAAATAAATACATAATTAAGTACATAAAAAGGCATAGAAAAGAGAAAGGAAAGATGGTTGATATTAAATGGAAAACAAAAAGGTTTGTAAATGCTTCTAACTCTCCCCATTTAAAATCCTAATAGTTGTACAGAATTTAAAAAAGAAAGTTTAAAATACCTATATAATAGAAAAAAATTAGACAACATAAAAATAAAAAAAAACAAAAAGCAAAAAAAAATAATACTACATAGAAGTTAGCGTTAATGCTAAAAACAAAGATGTTGTAGAACTGTAATTTTGTAGAGTTTAGATTGAGCATAAATTCCTACTCTCTGCCAATTGCTGTTGGATGCTGTTATTTATCGAGGAGAAAAAGGAGAAAAATGGCTATTTTGGCAGCTTTTTTAACTGCAAGCATTCCAGCTATTAAAAAATAAACAAGACAAGACTCAATTCTGTAGACAATGCAAATGGGAAAAAAAAAAAAAAAAAAACAGCTGTCTTTTTATCAGACGTTAGTTCTAACTTGAACAACAAAACACAGCTAAACGCTTCATGTCTTCATGATCTGCTGTCCGCAAAATTCCCATCATCCTATGCTTCAGTAGCTTCCATATTTGCTCTAGAAACCTTCAGGGCAAGGGATTAGCCTAGTACCTTAATCTTAAAAAAAAAAAAAAAAAAACAAAAAAAAAAACTAAAAAACCTAAAAAACCTTAAAAAAAAAACCATAAAAAGTAAACTAAAGAAACAATCTCTTTGAAGAATTTCTGAAACTGTTTACAAGGAATTTTGAAAAACAGGGGGATGTTTAAAAAAAAAAAGATGCTGGCTCTGTTTTCTGTAAATAAATTTGCATATTTTGTAGGACTTTTAATTGTAATGATAGAGAAAAAACAAGGAAAACTATTTAATGAAAGCACGATATTTATCTTTGGTAAATGACTTTAGAGCAGTTAAAAATAAGACATTGCTTTAAAAAATCTGACTCAGAAAAAACAATGAATTATTTAAGAACACATATATTTTAAAGAATATCATATTTATTATAATTTATTTTCACAGTCTTAAAACTTGATTTACATAATTCTCACACTTGTTTGCATCGATTGAGCAGTGTGATAATTGTTTTTGATTATTATTTGGTTATACTCTTGTTTTTGGTTAATGCTCTTGTTTGTTTTTCTCAGTATTTTTTAATCTCGATCTCGAACTTTCTTTCTTTGTTGTTTTTCCTTTTTAGTTCCCTTTTTTTTTTTTTAATGTTAATTTTGATTACATATTGGGCCTGACCGTGCAGTCCTTACTCTTCCAAAACTCTCATGGGGATATAACGAGCATTTTGCCAGAGTAAGGACTGAAGCAAACTGAGCCCACAGCTAGGAAGTACAGATGTGTAACGCAGCTGCAGTTCCATACAACTGCTCTTTCACTCTCAATTCCCTAAAACTCCTTGTAATCTTCTGTAATTATTGAATGACGCTTTCCAGCTTAGCCCTAAATAAAGCACAGTTTAAAAAAAAAAAAAAAAAAAAAAGCCGTGTTCTTTACTTCTTGATGGCTTTTCTTAATGTGTTTGCTTTGAGAACAAAATGAATCTATTTCGACTCTTTCATTAATATACATTGTTTGAGTATCAGAACAAATCCCTTTGTTATATAAAACGTATCTCATTGGATTGAATTAATGACACTGTTTCATTTAATGTCTGCTTGATATTCTAGAGTGGTTTACCTTAAACCTAGCAGGTTAGAAGATCAAATAATGGTACATACAAATTAGTGTCATTGTAGCTCCCATTTGAAGCCTGTTGTTTGATTTCACGCTCATGGTTTTTTCATGCTGATAAGTATAGAGGCCAAAGCTCGGGACGTTGCTCCTTTTGCTGCTTTGGGAAAACCCTGTGAAATTCAGCAGTCTCCAGAGATGAAGCTCAATTTCTTCCTCAGCATCCCTCACATCTTGTGTTTGAATGGTTATTTTCCTTTCCCCTGAAATGGCTGTACCAGATCAACTGAGCTGAGGTTGAGGCTGAGATCAGGAGCCTTCGTATTTTCTCCCTGATTATTGCAGCCACATCTGCATTTGAACAAGTTGCACAGGCTAAATCCACCTCTAAATGAAACCAATATGCTTGTTCATAATTTAAACCCCATAGGAAGGAGTTCTGTAAGTAAAAACTCCTATTATTAGTACTATCAGTTACTTAAGTCTGTTCAGGGCAGTAGAAATAAGAAATATAAATAAGATTATGAATACAAGGAGGGAACACGGTCAGTATTGCTTTTCTTCCAAAGGTAAAGGCAAATACAGAAGTGCACATACACCAAACCTATCCCTGCTTTTCAGCAGAGAAGATGCTCTGCAGAGGACAGAGTAGGCTAAAAATGCGGGAACTGGTCTCAGATGCCACTGAGAGAGAAAATGAGGACTAGATTTCCAGTAAGAAGAGGTTTCTATTCCAAAGGTTATTCAGCATCCTGTCCTGAGCTGCAGGGATGAACAGACAAAAGCACAGCTTCTTACCTGGGTCAGGTTGAGAATAAAATGTGGGGAAGGGCTGATGAAAATCACTACTTGAAGGAAGAAAACCTCACAACAAACAGGGAAGACTCAGTTTCCCAAACTGGCATAGCAAAGGGGGAACTAAAAGCTGCTCCCTGATTGTCTCCCCACTTCCCAGGCCACCTTCCACACCCTCCTCTGTGACCTTCAGTGTCCCCAGAGCTCTTCCCCACCCTGCTTGAAGTAGATGCTGTGTCTCTGCAGTGTGAGTCACATCCTGATGGATCTGCAAGAACACATCCCTGTCATCCAAGCAGGATGGGCTGCACCCCTGGGGCATCCAGCTGGGAGCACTTCTGGCCAATGAGATACAGCTGGGGACTGTTGACTGATGATTGTGAGACAAGATTTTGTCTTGTTTCAGGTACCCTGCAATACACAGCAGATAAAATATCCAGTATTGGAGGGCAATCAGCTCCAAAGGGAGACCAGAAAACACTGTTAACATGACTCTATGACTTAGGTCAATACCCCAAAATGCAGCACTTTGCAGAGAAACCTTTGGCGTTACTGGACTGGGAAAAGAGGATGTGAGGACAAGCAGGGACAACCAGTGACACAAGAGAGACCATGCCTGGTACTGACCTTTCTCCAAGGACATGCCCATGCATTACACTGCAAGCTCAAAAAGTGGTCAAATCTCCAAGTTCAGCCCCCAGTGAATAGGGAAGGACCACAAGGCTGTCAGCCTGCTGGAGGTTGATTTACACCAGAGGTTCATTTGCACTGGTGTGCTGGGAAATAAAGCACAGCTGTCACCACCCTGCTGCCTAAACCAAGTGATGGGTACCTGCCATACCCAGCTCTCTGGCTGTGGTAGAACACAATGGGCTGAAGCACAAATGGTGACACGGTCTAACAGCTGGTTTAAACACCCTTCTCCGGGCTGTGCAGACACACCAGCCCTGATTTAAGTGTTTGTCTCAGAGAGATGCTATGCTTCTCTCCAGTTCATCCATTCACACTGCAGGTGCTGTAAAGCAAAACAAATGGCAGCCCAAGCCTGCTTCAGCATGGGCTGTGTTGTTGGGACAGGCAATTATCCAAAGAAACATCCCAATCTGAAGCAATGGAAATGAAGAGAGAGACCAGGTCTACCTGAAATCCTGTAGCTGCATGTCTGTGTGCGCCAGCACACAGAACACTACATTACAGAGGTTCAAAAGCCACTGCATGTCTGATGCTGGCTCCTCTCTAGTTTGTAGCTGCTAAGTCACATTACATTAAACTAAAGGGTTTTTTAAAGGTCAAACATTCATCTTTCACCAGTGTGCTCCTTGGTACCACTGTGATTATAGTAAACTTCAGTCCTATACCCATGAGTAGTTCAAGCCAATCTTTGGTACAAGAACAGGGCACGGTTTGCTCTCATTCTTTGGGGAGTTCCATGAGGGCATCTCAACCAATTAGGTTGAGGACACCTCAACCAACTATTTTCATGTCCCTAAGAAAGCAGTTCATACCCTCCTGGAGTCGCTTTTCCATATCAGCATCTCTTGACATAAGCACTGAGCCACTCACCTTTTGCACACACAAGGTGAAACAATTCCTCCTCCCACCTCCATCCCATTCCTACTCCAGGCAGATGTTTATTAGAAAACTTTATTTTATTAAAGGATAATATGGACTTTGAATAAGGCTTCAGAGTCCTGCCTATTTTACCTTTCTACTACAAATATCAATATAATGTTTGGAAATGTCCTTGCAAAGCAAGGTCAGGACTCCTCCACCTCCAACAGTTCAGTTTCCAACAGTACATTTCTCCCAATCCCAAATACGACCTGGGAGCAGCAACTGTCCCATAGGTGTAGAGCCATGAAAGGTGTTTGTGATCCCAGAAACAACTCACACACCCCAGGGGGATTGGCAGATGGGGAAACTCATCAGCAGGGGCTTCAGTGCAACGCTGTGCGAGTTTGTGCTCTGCACCACCTGGAGAGGGAAGCTGCTGATGCTCTTCCTTAGTAATGCTCCTTAGAAAAGCTCATTTGAAACAGCCTGACTTGTCCTGCCAGTCCAGAGCCAATGAAATGGGAAGAGGCTGCAAACTCAAGGGAGCCACCTGTTGAGCCTGAAAATGTCTTTTGGAATAGCATTGCTGTCTACTTGTTGAAGAAATCAGTTCTTAAAGTAGGTTTCAATACCACAGCTTCTCTCTCACTACAGCAAACACATTAGAGCAAACACATCCCCAAAAAACACTCAGAAGCTTCCAAATCAGAATCCTTGTGTTTCATTTATTAAGGGTATGAGGTCACTCTGGTGTCTCATAGAACAATGGAATTGTTTGAGTTGGGAGGAACCTCTAAAGGTCATCTAATCCAACCCCTCTGCAGGAAGCAGGGGCTGGATCAGCTTGCTCAGAACCTCATCCCTCTGCACACTTGCCCTCACCATTGTGCAAGCTTCTGTTAACACCCACACAACTTGAAACCTTCCCCACATTGCCTCTGAGGAATCTCAGCACTGGTAAACACACAGCAAATGCTGGGGTGAAGAAACACTCTCAGAGCAAACATCCTCTCACCATGGCATTCATGAGCTATCCTGAATTCTGGGTCTCAGTCTGGTAAGTTCTGAACTTGGCATGGACCTCCTCCAGCAAGCAAGAGAGGGGGAAGGTGTTTCCTTGCACAGGTGTAGGTAAGCACATGCCCTCCCCCGGTAAGCAGCAGCCTTGCAGGGCACAGCACATTCACATGAGACACAAGAAGGCTCAGATTCTTCCCCACCCAGATGAAGTTTTCCCCCTGACACTCCTGTGACACAGAAGATGGCCCTGATTATAAAACGGTAGGTCAGTCCAGGGAGGTGTTCACAACTCCTCTCCTGTTTAGAAATCTGCCTCATCTTGTTTAGAAAGGTGGAAATACAAATAGCATCAGGAAGTGGGTGACTCTATAACCTCTCCTAGGAGACCCAGGCTCCTAACACCACTCCTGAATATGATATACATTGTATGGGACACTGGCTCTCACCTTGGTACTCCTTAGTCTGCCCCTCATGGCATTTTCTTGGAGTTGGGTTGCAGCTATTGCTTTCAGCACTCAAAAAGAAGAGATACAAACATGCAGGTTTGCAGTCAGCTGAGTGAGTATGTATGTAAACTCTCCCCAGT